TCCCCCCCCTGCCCGCTAACCTTTTCTGTTTCAGAGACCGCCAGGATCAAGAAACGAATACAACGACACACACACACATACACACACACCCATACCCTCCTTACCACTCCCTTCCCGCGCTAGCCAAAGGGCCACCTTAGCAAAGCGCATCCCAGGCTGAATAGCCTCACTACCCTACCCAATCATACCACACATAAACATGACACCACCCCCGGGGGTTTACCCAGACGAGCCGGCGAAGCAAGAAGAGCGCCAGAAGAAAGGGCCCTAGCCGGCGGGCCCCAGCNCTTTGCGACGTCCAGGAAGACAGCACCAGTGTACTGTCCCCTGTTGAAGGCCGCCGTGATGTGCTCGGTAAGACGAAGGATTTGGAGTTCAGTGGAGTGATTGGGTCGGAAGGCGAACTGCTCGTCTGGAATGACTCGCAGTTCTTGGGAGTGGGTCCTTAGACGGGTTAGGATAATTTTTTCTACCACTTGACTCATATCTGGGAGCAGGCTAATGGGCCGGTAGTTGGATGGGATAATGTGATCTTTGTTGGGTTTTGGGATAAGGATAATGTTTGCTATTTTCCAGCGGGTAGGGAAGCTTAGTCTGAGTGTCGCGTTTGTTATGTTTAGTAGGGCCATGAGGCCCTTGTGTGGTAGTCGTTTTTTAAGTGTCGTGTTATGTATATTGTCGGGTCCGGGGGCTTTTCTGTTTTTAAGTCTGCGTATTGTCAGTCTTAGTTCGTCAGGTGTTGCGGGGGGGATTATGTCATTGTCTGGCTCTCTGTCGACGCGTCGGGCCGCGCGCTCAGCCACTATCTCGAATTCCTCGTCTTCGTCGGGCAGCTGAGGCAGTCTACACTGCAGTTCCAGGCTATCGGCGAAAGCCTCGGCCTTTTCCTGGTTCGTGTAAACCACCCCCACACTACCGTGGATTGGAGGAATTTTACGGCGACCGGTCTGTCCCAGGGCCCTCTGCGTTTTCCAGAGGCTGTTGTCTTGTGGATCCAGCGACTCCAGGTGCCTAGCGCAGTTATCCTGGGCCAGTTCACCCAGAGCCGCCTTCACCCGTCTGTTAAG